TCTCTTGGGACTTGTGGAGTTAAGCAACCTGGACCAAAATCCACCTTTTCTAGCACCCGCAGCCACGGAGCTGCTCTTGACGAGTCCTTTTTTGCCGTTCAAGAAAAAGATGGATGAAACTGATGAAGAGCTATTGCTGCTTTTAGACTCCGTAGTAAAAGAGGAATGATGCAGAGGAGAAGCACAGGAAGAAGCAGAAGAAGAGCAAGACAAGACAGAGAAGAAGCACAAGACGTGGAAGCAGTAGAGTAGGAGGAGGATGGGGTTATGGAGGTTGGAAGAGAGAGTCGAGTAAGCTTTTCTCTTAAGCAAAGAGAACACACGCCCGGTGATTGCTTATGCTTCGAGTGCTTCTTGCAGCGACCGTCCGGCGGCTTGAACCACCCAACTCCGTCTTTGTCCTTCGAAGATTTTCTTAGTTTTAACATTCTGGTCCTTTTCCTGCATCACTGCGATGGTGTCGGTTTATTATATAGACGCAATAATGTTAAAGGAAGGGTGTGTTTCCTTGATGCTTCATGGGAGCTTCCTTTCCTTCTTCTCAACATGGCCTTTTTGACATAGTGAGGGAGTCGAACGTGGACGGGTGAGATGGACGTCAGTGGGACCCAGGGGCAGAGCCGATGGCTGTGATTCGCTGAGAGTCGCATTCACAGGAATGTGGAAAAAGGCAAAGCCGTATCAATTCAAGGGGCGGCCTAAACATTTCTCAAAATCAAACCCACCAAGGTCCACGGCGTAACCCTTGGGTAAAGAAATAAATCTAGTTTGGATCTCACCACTGATCGAATTTTGTAACGGGAAGAGTTCGAAAATACTCTATACTAGACCCGGTAAATTGCGCTAGAAAATCATTTCACATGGGAGTAATCTGTAAACCAGAGAGTAAAAATTTTATTGCATTGTAAAACTAAAATTAAAACATCACCCTTTTCTAAGCCAAAATTACCTGGCAGTCCAAACTAAGAAGATTAAATACAGAGAAGTCCCAAAAATTTTAATTTTACAAGTTTTCCTTTGAATGACACAACTTGAAATCTAAACATAAAAGTTTGTCTTATAAATTAAACATAATTTCTTGAATTTAACTTATAAATATGAATTTTTAGGATCTCTATATTTAATATAAATATGAATTCTCTAACCTAGGGCTATGGATAATGTTGTCTTTTTCTAATGTAGAGAGGACAATAGTTATTAGTTATATCTGTTAAAGATGAGTGTATTATTAGGCCTCGGAAGGAATTCACTATATATTTTTTTTTATGTTCTTATCTATGTTTATGAATACATTTTGTGATTTTTCTTCAAAATTTCAGTTTTTGAAAAAAAAAACCATGAAAATTATATTTTATCCTCAACATTAGGTTTTCTTTTTCAATTATACTATGTCCAGGACAATGCAATATAGTTACCTCCAACATTTTTTGTGATAAATTTAAGTTTATTTTGGTTGTATTGAATACATTGGTGATAATAACGGGCTAATAGCCTAATACTATTACTCCTCTACTTTAAGTTTATAAAGTAGAGAGAAGGTCTTGTTGTTCTATTTATAAGTTACATTATTAAATAGGAATAAAGTTAAAAAATAGTTATATTTTAAAAAAGAATTAATACAATTTAAGATTTTTTTTTGAGTCTGTGTAAAATATATTGAAAATGCATTATAAATTGGATCTGAAAAAAATAGGAAAAAAATAGGTTGCCTGTAAGAAGTTGGTAGTTGGATTGAACATATATTCATTTTTCTTTTTTTTTGCCAACGCATAAATTTATTTTTCTAAGCTGCTTCTCTGATTTTTTTTCGCCATGAATCTGTTGTTCTTATGTTATCTATAAAGTAAGGAAAGAGTATTATCTTTTCAAAATAATTCGCATGATCAAAATTATTATGCCAAGGTATACTTTTACTCTATAATTTATTTTACAGCCTTTTTTTTTTGAAAAAATATATATTAAATAAGAATAAAATTTAAAATTTTTTAAATGTTAAAACAGAGTCAGCGGAGTATAATATTTTTTTTCAAATTAAAACACATGTTGAAAATACCGCGAATATAAATATGTCAGAATATTACTATTGTACTAAAAGAATTAAAAAGTTTAGTTAATATTTGCTCTAGATCTATGCTAATTTGTAAATTGTGGGATTAGACGATTTGAACGGTAGGTTATATTTTTAAATTTTGATTCTTTCAAATTTAAATAAAATAAAATGGAAAAAAATAATCTCTTACTGTCAACTGAAAATAATTCTACACGTGCTGGCCAAAAAATAAAAAGCATGTTTAGGTGCATTGCTCTAAAAAAGTTAAAAGATAAAGCGAGCAGACAATTTTGAAATGAAGTTATTCATCATTGATATTATCAATAAATTTGTACTACCTCCTATCTTATTTATAAGATCTTATTTGTAATTTATAAATAAAACTAGAAGTAGTATAAAATATAAAAATATATAAGAAGTCACACCATCTATAATGCGCGAGCAATATAACTTAGCTTGATCTCTATAAAACCACTCTAGTCAACCAATAGTGTTAGATAAAAATCAAAGATCAGCCGGCTTATTTTCGTATCGATAAATACTGTTCATAGGACAGTACTTGCTGCTTGCGTGTGGCTTTGTGTTCTGAAATTTTTTTTCTTTTTAAATTTTAGGCTTGGTATTTTAAATTTCAAAATCCCCTCCGCTCTCCTCCTTTCTTCTTTTCTTCATTTTTTGGTCTTTTGTCAGGCATAGTGCTTCTCTCTCTCCCTCCCTACTTTTTCCCTTATCTTTTAAGGAGGTTTTTTTTTTTAATTGAAAAGTGTCGTCATTACAGAACCAACAAATTAAAAACACAACAAGTAAAACTCTCATCATCGCCAGTGGAAAGCGTTTGGAGACACCCATGGCAATGGAAAATTCTGAAGATCAAAACTTTTATGTGGCTCTTCTGCCACAATAAAATTCACACGGCGCAACTAAGAGCGAGCAGGGGACTTCAACCAGATAAGAGCTGTCCATTTGGGTGCAACCAAGTAGAAAACGCTATGCACCTTCTTTGTGAGTGTGTCAATGCTAAGGAAAGATGGAAAGGTGTAATCAAGCCCTTAATGTGGGAAAGCTTCTATTCTAAACAAGGAGTGGAGTGGGTTACATGGAATCTTACAAAGGAAGCAGGAGCTGATCATACTAAGAAAATTCCTTGGGCCACCCTCTTTGGTTACATTTGTTGGGATATTTGGGTAGATAGGTGTAACCGGCTCTTTAATACAACAAACACTAATAGTCCAAGCAATGGGATGTCTACTTTTTTTAGAGCTTGCCTTGATCAAGACCTACTAGAAAAGTGCCAGTTCTACAACCTCAATGGAATAAATGAAAGGCAAAGCAATAGAGATGTGGGCAGAGAGGTCAGGCTGGAGGTTGATGGATTGGTACTGCAAGATGGTAGAAGCGGATGTGGTGGAGTCATAAGAGATGGAGCAGGTAATCGGATCTGTGGATTCAGCTGCAAGCTTACTAATGTTCCACCTGCGATTGCGGAGGTAATTGGCATTATTCATGGCCTTAACATGTGCTGGAACAGAAATTACAGAGAAGTCTCACTCCTTTCTGACAGTTTAGAGGCAATCAACCTAGTCACCAGAGGTTGTGATGACCAACACCCTTTTAAGGATGTCATTGATGATGCCCGTATTATTGTTAACCAAAACTGGAAGGTTTTGTTGTACCATGTGTATAGGGAGGAAAACCATTTGGCTGACTATCTAGCTAATCTATCCCATAGCCTTGATACTTCTTTTAGGATCCTTGATCAACCTCCCCTTTTTACCAAGAGGTGGAAGGTGATGCAGAAGGTTAAACTTCTTTTCTTTGTTTTGTATTGTCTTGCTGTTCTAGCTCTGTATCCAGTTTTTTACTCAAAAAAAACAAAAAATCTCATCATCCTTCTTCCCTACTTAGAAAGAGTGGGGGGTGACTCAAAACACAAAACAGGATGTCCAAACTATGAGCAGCTTTAACTAGGAGGTCCGCACTAGAGGTCTTCCCTGTAGATGAAGAACGGCAAGACCTGCCAATATCTATTCAGAAGCAATCGTGCATCATTTATAATGTCATAAAAAGGGTGATCTGCATTGCAACCTCGCGAAACCAAATTTATAGCTTCTTTAAGGGGTGTTTGAAAAGTTATAAAAGTGCTTTTCAAAAATATTTTTACATAAATTAAGACAAATTATTTCGTATATCATAAAATTATTTTTAAAATCATAGTTTTGTTTTTATCTAAATATCTCCAAAATAGCTTCAACCCCCCTATCTCTCGCTGCGGATTGATAACTTTCCTAGAAGAATCAACGCTCCTTCTCCTTCGCTTACAAACACTTTGTGGGAGCTAGAGTTCGCAACTCTGGCATCCCTCTCGCCGGGAACCATTGGGTACGCATTATCAATATGAATTTATCTTAACAGCATGATCCTGCTTTGTCATTATGCAATATAGGTTTTAAACTTTTCGAGTTCCCGCTTTTTTGTTGTGGTGCAACAGTATACTATATATTAGTTATAAGAGCTTGGTCTTTTCACCCTACAAGCTCACTTGGACTCATAGTACCTGTTATTGTATGTTATATTATTGCATATATAAGCATTAAATGACAATAAGGAATTTTGTTAATAATATGGGTTAATGCATGTTATATTATTGTACATATAAAAAAAGTAATATGATTGAGCCAGCAAACGTACGGGAATTTTTGTATGTATTCCATCTAACCACACTTAAACCCCCATCGCATCACATATTCGTCCTCTGGTATACTTATTCATTGTTCCATTGATTAACATGTAAAAACAAGTTTTATATTGATGTAGCAACACTAGCACCACAATCCAAGTATTGATAGTGTATTAGTGTTTAGTTATTTAGGAATCAATGGGAATGTGGATAACATTGTGTAAGGCAAACTTCAAATGGAATTAATCGAATGCAAGCATTTAAACGGACATGTGATGTGGAATAATGAAAGAATTTTGGCATCATTCAGTCCAAAAAAAAAATGGTAAGCATATTGTTTTTTATGGAAGGCAATGCTCCTGTGCATCGCATGGGGGAACATGCTAGTTGTTTTAATACTAACATGAATATTTTAGTCGGAACTTAAATAATAATCTACATAAGGAAGACAATGGACATGATTTTGCCACCATGATATATGATAACTGCGTAGATTATTTCTGCGGGAGATACAGCATAACAAAGAACGATGAGCTGCATGGACAAAATCATCCTCCACTATTTGGTTACACTATTTAGTCGCCTCAGAAGCCTCGGAGGTATTGACTTCTCTAGGACACTGAGACACATAAGGTTTGAGCTGCAAAACAGAAGAGTAATATTTAGCGATGAGCTTGGAGTATACTATTCTAAGGATTTCGGGTAGAATCACAGGGACGCGACAAGCACTAACATAACAAGAAAGAAGAGTACGCAAATATACACAAAGATGCAGACCTTGAAATCAGTCAGATCGGGGACGACATAGTTTGGCAGTTTTTCTTGCATTACTACATATCCACCTGCGAGGATTGGGTTCCAAGGATACAACTTTTACTCATGTTTGGAGTTATTAAAAGTCATCAACATACACTAGCAACAAACTCCCAAGATAAAATCAATGGAATTAGTTCCTGAAGGGCCACAAATTTAATCAGTCAATGTGCTGAAAAGTTGAAAAAGCAACTTTAAGCCTTAACCAGCCATATATTAGATCAACAAAAACAACATCCTGAAGTTGACAATCTCTACAGCTAGAATTTCAAAGTTGTAACTTATAATACAATTCAGTAAACATCAGCACAAATATACTAATACAGCTTAGACTTTCTTTCTGAAGACAAACAAGTAGTGACAGATTTCAACAATTCTGATATTCAAATTGCTAGGATATTAACAACCACCAATGCTAAATTAAAAGCATGTTCCCTATTTAAACTCATAAGAAAAGGACCCCAGAAGGGTCTGACATTCAATCAAGCAATCCGTCAATCCCAAAGATGTGTTGCTGAAAGTTAGACATTGACATGAACAATTTTCAAATGGGAGACTCACAATAGAGGAAACTCATTTGAATATATATATATTTATATATATTTCCACATTCAGGGATAATTATAATAATAAAAAAGACCATAATGTGGTCTAAAGACTCTAATGTCTAAAGATATTTACGTCCTGACCTCTTTTACTTGTTTGATATTCTTATGTTGGAAATGTGTTAGCCGGAAGTTCTTAACAGTTTTCTACTTCTATTCTATCTCTTAAAACTGAATTCCCAACTGCTCCTCCAAAGAGAAAGATGTACTCAAATAAGTTAACAGGTTATATAAACCATCCCAATGGTCCATCCCCAATGTGTTGTGCAATAATAGTAAACACCAATCGCACTGCAATGTATTAAGGTGAAAGGTGAACAAACCTTTGCGCGTGTGGAAACCAGTAGGCTTGCAATTTTTCCCTTTGTAGTAACCTCGTGGAGCGCGTTTTGATGATAGAATGTCAAGGGATGAAGTTCGCTTCCTTCGAAACATCCTTCCTATCCCTAGAATTAGTCCCAAAGGCATCGTATCCCTATTCAAGAGTGACAGAATATAATAAGCTGACAATTAAAAAGGGAAATCATGAATGGGTTCAGGAAGAACCATCACTACTCGAATTCAAGGAGAAATACCTTTCAAACCAGGAACAATGTTAGAACAAAATCACTGAACGTCTTAGAATAAAACATAGTATGACAAGCTCAGATACAGCTGCCAAAGCCATCGGACGCAAGAAACAAGGAGCTGTAATCTTCTTTGTGATAACACGTGCGTTTTTCAAAACAAACATTCAAACAATTAATCAAATTCAACGCGCGGCTAAACACTTTCAGGAATATTTACTCGGACGAAAGACGAACTTTAAGACCTATTTCAACCATTAATTTTGAAGGCGCTCGCGACAAGCATTGAAAAAAAAAAGGGTCACAAAGCATCGCCCCTACTACCTGGCAAAGTAAAACCATGCAGTCACTATTTTGCTCGGGGCCAAACCATTTCATACAAATAGAACTGTATGGTATCAAATTCGACATGCAGAACTATCCCGGCCAGACCCTATCATCGAAGCAGTTATAGTTTAAACCCTAAACCCATAAAAGTTTTTGAAACTAGAGATCAGAAAATTTATCGCCTCCTTGCGGGGAACTTAGCTGGAGGTAGGAAAGGAGAGGTGAAGGGATCTGACGCTTACCGTGATTTCAGTGCGGGCTGCCGATCGTCACAAGCCGTCGTCGAGAGCAACCTGAAGTATACGATTAGAAGGTAAGAAAGGGGAATTTGCTTTCATCACTGGGCTGCCTCGGACCACCCAAGTGACATAATTCAAGTTGGACTAGGTATGGCCCATTTTGCATCCATCTTGTTGACAACTCAAACGATCAGGGCCTTGAGCCCTTGAGAGTGAGAAGAAAGAAATATTGGAGGGGAAAGAAGCTACTGGGTCAGAATGAAGACTTGGGCTTGAAATAGTAAGGCCCAAAAGTTTCGATTTAAGTCAGACCTACCAAAGGGGAGGCCCAACCTTCTGTGAGGGGCCTCCAGAACTATTATTTTCACCCGAAATAACAAGGGAAGCTAAGCTTGAGAAGATGAACTAAACAAACAGAGCCTAGCTAATGTTGGGATGAAGATCCCGGAAAGCTGCTCCTATGATCATGGCCTATAAATTCCTGCAGGAAGAAAAACTTAAAATTTCAAAAAACCTGTTGATCTGATTTGGATGCCGAAGTCACATCTTCTTCCTCATCATGCTGTCAGTCCACATAAATGGCCCAGGGATGCTTTGAAACGCAAGCGAGTTTCGAGATAATCTTTTCAAAGCATCGGGATGGATTATGGATGCAAGAACTAGTTCCAAATTTGCTGTAAACTATACGAATTAAAAATTTATTTCCCCTATTTTTTATTAACAAAATAATTAAAATTTTTATTTACACATCTATTTTTCTTGTTGAAACTTTTTATCTTATTTAATCTTATGATTAGACAATGCTTGATTAAGATTTCATTCTTGAACAACATCCCGTCAATAGACAATACTTAAGCAGGGGCTAGGAATCGCGTAAATGATTTCCATCGCCAGTCAAATCAATACAATTGGAATATTATAATAGTTCAAACTAACTATAGGTTGCAGACCTCGGACTTTCTGTTTCCAGTCCCAGATCTGCAGTCCCCCCCCCCCCCCTGAATGGTTTTAGGACCGCATTGCGAAATTTTCATGGGAAACTAACTTTCCCGTAAAGAAATGTTGCAGCAATACTGATGAATTCTTGTGATTGCAAACAATAAGTGTTAGCTGGTTCATGTGTAAATGAAGGAGTTGTGCTTCTGGTGGATCTGGAGATTCTAACGGGCAGAGGTTTGATTGGCCTCGACATTTAAATGCTGAGACGTTGCAAATAAAACTGTGACTTTGTGATTACACCGTTGGAAGCACACACGATGACTTTACCTATGGCTATGAACTGTCATGCGTGCTTCATGGCAAAGGAGGCGGGGACGTCTATCTGGCTTATATGTAATTGCACCCGGCTCTATATTTGGTGTGGTCAGTCCTTCCTCCTCTGGGCATGAATTCAAATTTAACTTCTTTTCAGTTTTCACACTTACATAATGGAACCTGATACAAAAACCTCACTATTTTCCCACGTATAGCCTTGCTAATTCAGTAGTTTTCGTGCAAGACTCCGCAGTCTAATGCATCTTTATTTCATGATCAGGCGGTTAGGGCCAGTCCACAATGTTGGGCATGCTGCACAAGCTTTGTTTTCATTGAAATTTTCCTATTTCACCATATATATATATATATTTATGTTTATATTATATCACAATCACTTTAATCTCAGGCTTCTGCCACTTTTGTATGGAAAAAAAAAAAATTAAAATTCACTTTTCCTCCTCACAAGCGGCAGCAACACATTGAGTCATTGAAGATCAAAATCTAGGCAAAGCCCGGTAATCACTAAAAAAATATTTCTTATATTCATTTCATACAGTAAAATCACTTAAAATAAGCTAATCTAAACACATGATTTTAACCAAGAAAGAAAACATGAGCCAATAAATGTCAAATAATTCAGTCCCAAGAAAATTAATGTTAAATAATATCAATTGCTCGTTAATCGTGATCTAGACTTTGTTTGGGAGGTTTTCACCACAAGCACCTGAAAGTAGAGCCTTATTGTTTTGGGTTCATGCCTTATATTTATAGATGATGTTTGGAAGGTTTAAAAAAGGAAGAATTGCAATGAGATCCCAAATAAAAAAAACAATTGAAAAGCAAGTCCCAGAAGTTGTCATTCTCACTATAGGACTTGTTATTATAGGTTGTTGAGATTGTTATTGAGACCTTTCGGTAATTATTTCTGTTCTGTAGGATTTGATTGTAATTCTCTTTTTTAAAAAATCAGAGTATACAAGAAAAAATAACTTTATTTTCTTGGTTTTACTTTGACACACGTACTGATTGATCACATGAGAAACCAACGGTTCCTGAAGTACAATGGAGAAACATTTTGCACCATGTCATTAAATAAAAAGGTTAAGATACAGTCAAACACCTGCAATTCACAAGAAGGATGCAATCATCATGGATATCATGGTCATAGATACAAGTCAGTTACATCACTAGACACCAGTTTCAGGTTCAGGACGAGGACGATCTTCATCAACCTTGCCAACGTTAAACTTCATCCAGTTCTTTGACTTGCAGACGGTCATGAGAAAGAAAAAACCAATCCCCGCCACCGTCATGATGCCACTAACCAAATAAACAATCTTGGTAGCTATAGCTATTATCAGTATCAAAAACGCAGATGGTATCAAGCACATAATCACCAGTAATGGCAGCTTCACGGGCACCCGAAAAGGCCGATCAAGCATAGGCGACTTCCATCGCAACCAGAGAAACGAAGCAAATTCCAATAACATGCCCAAACTGTACAATAAATTCGCAGAGGAGATGATGTCTTGGAAATTCATGTAAGAGACTCCAAGTGCTATTAAAGTCGAAATCATAATTCCCACCCAGGGTGTATTGAACCGTTTAGATCGAGCGCCGAAAAAGTTGGGCAGGATTCCGATATCTACCATGCCCACACACTGATAAGCACAACTGCTTAGCTGCGCTTCAAACAGCCCAATCGCCGACAAAACTGAACCAAATTCAATCCAATACTTCAGCCATTTTCCGGCAATCATTTCTGCGGCTTGAGCATGAAACCCAGATTCCCATTGAGTCTGATCTAGAGGAATGGATCCGATGACAGCGATGAGTGGGATCAGATAAGACAGGCAAGTGAAAATCACTGAAACTAAAAGAGCCAGGGGGAAAGTTTTCTGGGGCTTATCCACTTCTCCTGCTAAAGTACTAACATTATCCCAGAAATTCAAGTTCCAGAACAGAGTGTTGAAGAATAAAGTCCAATCCTTCTTCACTCCCTTTTGACCTAAACTGAGCCATCTATGGGGACGAACCTTGGGAATTGCAATAAGAGACATTAATATAAAAGGCGAGAGAGAAATAACAGCAAGTATAACAGCAGCATATCCAACAATTGTCAAACCAGTAAAATTGAGAAACGAAAGAGCCAGGGTAAAACCCATTATTGAGATGTAGCGAGGCCAGCCCGATTCGAGAGCGGGAATTGCTTTCTCGACGTAGTTAATGCAAAGAACAGGGAATGAAGCAATATTGATGACGCCACAGAGGAATTTCCACGTGCCCATAAGAGAGCCCCAGAAAGGGCCAAAAGCACGCTCAGCCCAGACGACGTATCCACCGTTACCAGGAAAGGCGGTGGATAATTCTGCAGTAATAAGAGCTTCTGGGACACTCCAGATGAAGGGGAAGACAAGGAAGCCAATGATGGCCAAAAGGGGTCCTGCCGCCTGAACTGCTGGCTCCTCGCCATACGGGCCTCCGGCAACTTCAAAGTATATGAGGAAGATAAGAGGGATGAGACTAAGCTTTTTGGTTCGGGACAGGGACGCAGCCGCCGGGGCCTCCCCAGTCATGGTGGATCGGGTTGGCCTCAGCAAGTCTCTTCTTCCACGGGCTCTCAGACTCCAGAGCGAGCAACTACCGCGCTAAAACCAGATACATATATCTCAAGATTTTGTATCCCATGGAAGTTTTTTTTCCCGATACGCATCGGATCCCATGGAAGTTATCAATGCATATTCAATTCAAATGCCTGTAAAGACGAAATTATAAGAGATGCCGTATTTTGAAATTATTAGATATACTGTATTTTAGTGGAAACAATATAGAGATTATATGGAATGTAACAATTTGAATTCTCCGAAATAATTTATGTTTAGATTAGATTAACAGGTTATTTTTAACATTTTTCTTATTTGATTTTACTATTAAAATTACTAATTATTTTTCTAGTTGAAAATGTTTATTTTGATTGAATCTGATACGTCCACCGGCGTATTTTTAAAGTATGATCTCGATCCTTCAACTTCATATTATATTTTAATTTCCTTTTTATTTTTTATCTCTTAATTTCATTTTCTTTCGGATGCTTTGAGTTTTAAAATGTAATGGGGAAAAAAAATCTAATCTTAAAAAAAAACTCCATCCCCCTTTTGCCGGCTTGAACGTGTTCGTAATGTAACTGATCGGAGATCAAAGTTGTTGGCAGCAAGGTTCACTCAATAGCGGCAGCATTATTGAAGATGCTTTTGAATCTATGTGCCGATGCCAAACTCCAATCGCCGACCATGAAAATCGGATATTGATCCTCCCAGATCTCTCTTTCGTTTTCCCCCCTCAAAATCCCGTCTTCAAGTAAAAAGTAAAGAGTTCAAGTTTAATAGTTTATACTGTTATTGTGTCACCTCAAAATAATTTAAATTGTTAATATTTGATTTGTACATCTTACAATTGCAGTACGTTAAAAATAAAAAGATTTAAATTTATAAAATCTTATAATAATTGTCTTATAAGATATTAAATCTAAACTATCCTTTTTTTCCCCCAAAAAGAGAAAAGATGTATAGATCTGCTTTCATAGATTTTTTTTTTTAATGTAATACAAGTAAATACACACAAACATATTAAGGCTAGACACATTCAAAAACTCATTTAAATATGATGGGTGGTGTTGCTATCACACAACTAGCTGTGGCTAAAATTTCTGGGAAAATTTTTTGCTTTCATTTATTGATATCAGTTTTAGCCATATGTTTTTAGGGTCAAAACGAATGTATATTTCCAATAGAGTACTCATATGGTAAGTGAGATTTTTTTTTTTTTTTTACCAGCATGTGGTAGGTGAGATGGAGAGGCCGTTCGGTTAGGGGAAAAATAGCCTATTACTGATGACTATGAGAATATAAGGTATATATATAATGATGGAATAGAAATAATTGTACCAAATAAACTTCGGAGGCAGAAAAACAGAGAGGGTTCACAATCCAGTAAATGTTGAACGTGCTTTTCTTCATCGACGGCGCAATCTATAAGTCTTGTTTAGAAGCTACAATTAGACATTTTTGTTAGGTTTATTTAGATGCTGGAACTATTCCTCTATTTCTTAATATAAGACTCATTTAATTAATTTAATTATATTAAAAAAATTAGGTAAGTTAGTTAATTATAAAAAATGCGACATATTTTTTCTACAATATCATAATTATTTTTCTTAATACTCCATCTTCTTCTTTTACTTGATTATGACTGAGGGAGTATCTACAGGGATAATTTAGAAAAAATTGATAAATATAAGAAATGTGTTTTATATTTAGGACCAAAATCAACTTAACAATTGAGTCATATATCAAAGATCAAGGAGTATTTACTTTTCAATTTAAGAGTATTTTAAATATTAATGGTGGTGAGGTGGCTAGCAAAGTTAATACGCAAGGGTGAGAAATTGTTCTGTTAGCATTTATTACCCTTAATTGGTTGACATTTTCTCTTTGTTTTTTTTGTTTTTTGGGCCAGCACTTGGTTAACATTTTCTTAGCACCGTTTCTCTCTCATAGGGCAAATTCTTTTTATTGAGTTTTGAAAGTTAGAGGCCAAAAAGCATTTAATGAAAATAATGAATCAATTCAAGACTTTGCATGAAGTCAAAAAAGAAAAGATCATTTGCCTTTTCGGCCCTTTTACCGCCCTGTTCACGGTAAAATGAGAAAATCATAATCAGCCATGGACACCATGGATCGGACTTGTTCATCATTTTAAGGAACGGAGGAGTAATTGGATAAAAAACGCTGGCAAAAAAAAAAAAAAGGGAACAAAAAGGGTCCTGCTATCTCTGCAAATTGATGAATTTTCACGTCCCCATTCAGTTATAAAAATGCGTTTTATCATTTTTATTTCTTAATATAAGACTTAGTTAGTTAATTTAAATAAATTAAAAAAGTTAAAAAAATTACTTAATTACATCATATATTATATATTATATGATTTTTCTAAAATACTTATATATATTATTAAATTATATATCAGTTTATAAGCAGATAAATTAGTTTCCAAAAACAGAAAAAATATAATATTTTAAAATAATTTATTTAATTTTTTAATTCTTATAAATTAGTTAGTTAAGTCTTATATTAATAATCAGAAATAATATTACGTAAGAATTAGTAAATCATTGTTAATCATCTATAATTCAAAAAACGTCACTTTTGATTCCAATATCTTTTAACAAAAAATAAATCCATCATGTCCCAAAGCGTAGGAATTCTTTAGTGGGTTCCTCTTCTTCTTTTTTGGGTATTTATTATTTTTCTTAACAGTTAAAAAAAGATTGCATTTTAAAGAAACTAGCGGTCTAACACAGAATTAACCAATTTTCTTAGCTTGTATAATTAATTAGCCCATATGTTTGCCTCGACGAGGTATTTTAAGTGACCGTAATTGTACTTTTGATAAATATTTGTCTGTTTTTTTTTGACAATATATACATTTTGATTTTTTTTTTTACTTGAATGAGTAGATGCTGGCTGCAGCATGGAGGGCGACTAACTTGTTTGGAAATGCATTGATTTTCACCAAAACCAACATAAAACCAAATATACACATCATACTCAGCCTGATACGTTGTGAACCCTCCTGATCAACTATGATTTTAGTTTCGTGTAGCACTATCAATATGTTACTTCTGGTATTTAATCTAAAAATTAGTTTAATATTTTATTTGATCTTAAATATACAACTTTGATATACTTTGTTTTTTATATTATTCATTTCTTTTTAAAGTAGTCCTTATAGTAAATATCTATATTACAAATTTCATTATATAGTAATTCTATCTAATATATATGATTAGTAAAGGTATTCTGGGAAAAATAACACCTAATTATTATAAATAATTAATTTAACAAATTATTTTAATTTACTTAAATTAGTTAATTATCTTTTAAGAATCAATATGCAATTTATATATATTGATGGAGGTTCCACAACGAGAATTATATTATCTATCATTTTTTTTTCTTAGATTGAAACCGGATATTGCATTACCACTTCAAAATAAGTTACAAAAAGAGAGAGTCACTCTATTTTTCTTTTATCAATTTTTAACTCAATGAAGGGTAATCAAAGATATAAAAAATTCCTATCAAATTATATGCTGACTTAGCAAGATCATCATTATACAAGAAATATGCTCTATGCATACGTGAAAGAAACTATACCCTTACTATTAAATGAAAATTATAATTCGTATCATTTACCATTAAATCATATTTAATAATAACTATTAAATGTGGTTATGAAAATACAAATAACTTTTAAAAAAAAATCCCCTTTTAACAATCACACATTTATAAGTAATTTTAATAAATAAAAATATAATGCAAACAAATTTTTCAAAGTCACTAGTGAAAAAAAGTATCCAAATAAATATTACCAACATCATTTTTAATCAATATTAATAACAAATTCATGATTATCCAATCACAATTAACCCAATTAATTCTTTTACACCATAATCCAAACGGACACTTCTACCACTCAACCAAAAAAGAGGCAAAAGATTTGTTCATGAGATCGGATCATTACATGGTGCTTTCGCTGGTTTTGCACGTTAATCGATTAGCGTTGGATTAAAATTTCAAGAGCAGAGTGTGAGTTGGCAGAGGTGGGAAGTTAGATCCAGTTTCTTCAGCTTCACAATCCCAAGTATATCTCTCGATTTTGATTCCCCAGAAAACATGATCGCTAGTTATCGGAGATATCCAGCGAGACAAGTTAGATATTTCCAGGAAAAGACAGAGACATGGATCCACTTGCCCCTTGGACGGACTCCATTTTTCCTTCAACCAGACGATCGCGTTCTGATTACATGCAAGAAAATCCCACCTCGCGATTAAATGAAAAGAATAACAATGTTATATGACCCCAGAATTTTAAAAAATATTCAATCAATTTTTTACTACTTTCGCTATTTTTACGACTTTCGCTCTTTAATACTAGCATAAGAATTTGAACGGTTGTCCTTAACACAAGAGTAAAGATACCATGTCCCACAATAGCCAACACGTTTGCACAGAGACTAGCTCCTCGCGCTTGCCGTGCAAATTGAATCCTCTCATTTAGAGGTACTTTTTGTACCATGATCATGATGACAATAGATTATTGGCAAAATCTTCAACCATTTAATAATAGGGTTAAGGTGCACTCAACACCCCGAACTATTTTTTCAGGTGTATCCAATATCCTAAAATAATTTTTGGTGCATTCAGTGTCCCAAACTAATTAAAACGGTGCATCCAATGTCCCAAACTAATTAAAATGGTGCATCCGTATCCTGGACTAACAGAAAAGTTAAGTTTGATTGTTAGTTGATCGAAAAATCTGACGTGGCGGACACGTAGGCGTCTGATGTGTATTATTTTGACAAGTTAAGGTGCGCCCAGCACCCTAAACTATTTTCCCAGGTGTACCCAGTGTCATAAAATAATTTTTGGTGCATCCAGTGTCCCAAACTAATTAAAATGGTACTTCCACATTGCAGGCTAACAGAAAAGTTTCGTTTAACCGTTACCTTATTGATTCAGCTAAAAGTTGACCAAAAAATCCTACAGGGCGGACACGCAGGCATCTGATGTGTATTATTTTGACTGAAAATTTAATTTAT